CGTGTGGCTAGTTGTACTCTCCAAATATGTATACAGTATGAAAATCATACTGTAAAAATTATAACTATAACTAAATAAAGAAACACGACAAAGAGGTTACCTTAACATTGAAAAAAAAAAACATCTTATAATCTTAGCATTAATCTTAGTTTTTTTTATTAAAAAAAAGGTTCTTGTGCCATATTCATTATCTTAAAAAAAAAAAAAGTTTCTTATAATTCTTATATGAATTCATAAAAAAAAAAATTCCTTAATAGTTCTTAAGTTCTTATTCAATATTTATATAAAAAGCGGCACTTATACAATATTTATGTTTTTTTTTCTTTAGAAAAATTTTACAATAAAATGCTCTTCTTTTTATGATGGCTTAGAAATTATCTGTAGAATTAACCAATCAAAGTACACAACCTACAGCCAATCAGTGTACGCTAGTCGAACGGATTCTAACGGGTATACCGGATCGGATCCTCCATATGGATTCGAATTTTGTCGGATCTTATATTTTATGGATTTGGATCCGATTCGACCCCTCGGATCCGGATCGGATCCGGATCTTGGATCTGATCTGTGAAACACTAAACTTAGTCTGTGTAACGCTGGGGTGTCCAGTGTACTATGTAGATTAAATTTATGTATAGTCCTATATGAAGATTTGAATAGACAATTTTTTGTGTAACGATCACAATTATCTATTTGCTAAAAAATATGGGCGAATCTATTTGTCGCCGGCAGTTACAAAAAATCTCAAAATTTTCAACCCAAATAATTCAAAATTATGCCTATTAAATCAAGTTCCATGACTTAACAAAAAATATTCCTTGCATAATTTTACTACATACTATGATCTTTCTGATCCTAAATACAATTATAAATAAAATCCGGGTACCGTCACCGCCTGTAAAAAATAGATTATTTCAATAAATTAATAAAAATTTAATAAAAATTTTTTTTTAAAAAAACTCTTCATTAGTTTAAAATACAGGTTCTGCTGAGCATTTGAGTAAAAGTTTTAAAACAGTTAATATATAATTTACAGAGGAGATACAATTTGAAATTTAAAAATTTCATATGAAACGATTATAAAAAATCATCAAATTTCAAATTGTATCTCCTCTGTAAGTTACATATTAACTAGCTTAAAAAATTTGCTCGATTACTCAATAGAACCTGTATTTTAAACTAATGGAGCGTTTTTTTATTAATTTTAGTAATATTAATAATTTTGTTAAAATTTTATAGCAATTTACTATAAATCAGCGTGATCGTTACACAAAAAATTATATATTCGATTTTTATATAGGACTATACATATATTTGATTTACATACTGTAGTACATTGGACACCCCAGTGTAACGCCAATTGGCCAATAGAACTTTCTTCAAACGTGAAAATGCTAAATTATGTGAGATTATGCGAATTTCTTTAAATTATGCAAAATCGCCGTAAGGTGAATTATCCGTATATTATGTCAAATCATAATCCTGGACACTCTAGTCGGTAGCATTCCCCGTTGTAAAAAATGATATATGCACGTGATCTGAAAATTTTTTCGCCATGAGGAGTCGTAATATCCTTTCTTACGTACGTACGTACATGTCTAATACGTAAGAATATATATGACCGGCTAATATAAATGTCTTATATGGAAAAAAGAAAAAGTCAGCTACTATTAAAATTATATTAATATCTGCGACTCTCTTATTGCTGAACACACAAAAAAAAAAAAACTTGCTGTAGAATTCATATTAATCATATTCATGTAATCGATTATTGTATTTACATGATCTTATAATGAAATAAACGACTTTATAAGTATCAAATCAAATATACCAATTTGGAAAATGATTAATATAAAAGTTTGGAACAAGCAAAACATCACGGAATGAGCGAAATGAAAACACTTCCTACTAGCGATAAATTACTATTAATAAACTTTCTATTGTAACTTTTTGCGAACCAAGTTTTTAAAGGCTATTACCTAAATTACGGTAATACAATTCGAATATTACCCTAAATTGGTCAAATTTTTTTGGTACGTATCATACTTTCTCAAAAAAAGTAATAAACCCCATTTAGAAAATATTTTTATTGTACGTACGTACAGTACGTAGTTTATGCATCATTGTCATTGTTTCTTCTCAATTAGTTCATAATTATTACATAATTGTGAATTACAGTGCTGAGTAGAAATCTGATTTTAATCGCGTTTATGTAGACGATTTTAGTGGCTACACTAAGATTGTCGTTACGAAAAAACGTCATCTGTCTGAAAACTTTGATATATATCTTCGTATCGATTAAACTAATAACGGTTAAGTACAAAACTGTTACGTAATGGGGAAATTTGTTGGCAACAATACCTAAAGTCACATATTCCTAATATAGATAGCATATTGATTTCTCGATTTAACGTTAACGTTAAAATACGTAATTATTGGCGTAACAACGTTAAGACGTTGTGGCGTTATTACATTACTATTATGACTTATTTTGAACATGAATGCGCCAAAACTGTATTAATAATTTGGGGAACCAAAAAATTCGAAAATACTGGTTTTTCCGCTTGGAACCGGTTCCGTCATGAACCCGAATCGAACCAAACCGACCGTACTCAAAAGTTTTTTTAATGTGTTATAAGGATTGCCAAAAAGAAGCATGCTTTATTTGGCGAAAATCTGTACGAGATTGCGACATGTGTTAATACATATTTAAATATAACGGATATCAGGGTATCGTTCATATGAATTGTGTGTCTGGCAATGACAATGATGAAAGTTTTTTTTTTTAAAGAAAAAAAAATTTTTGAAATTTTTATAAATAAGATAAATGGGTTTAGGAATTCGATTTTTCTACACAAAAAAAAAAAAAACAAAAATTCATCCAAACTATACATATTCGTTAACAATGTTCTTCAAATAATAAAACCCTTAATTTTCTCCCATCTTGTTAAAAAATGAGGAATGTTATCGGAATAGATTTAAATATTTATACAAGTCGTAAAAAATATGTTGGATTCGTTTCAGGATGTATACAAGAATATAAAACGTATATAATGAATCACGTATTAAAATTTTCTACGTACATGCATTAAATTACGGGGAATTCCCGGGATTTATTATTGCTCTTTTTTTATACTGTCAGTATTACCTAACACAGAGTCAATTTTTTGTGCTAATGCAGGTGGTGCTCTATTATGAATACCATTCTTGATTTGTTCTTTTCCAATTTTGATTATTTCTGATCCAATCATATAGCAGAAAGTTTCGACTGGTCCAAAAAGGTTTAGTAACCAGATTATGTATCCAATAATTCCAAAGAAAGAAGTGATTATAAGATATGTTGGTGATGTAATAATGGATATGAATTCATTCCAACCGAGTATAACTAGTTATAAAGTATTTATTAGCTTTATATCGCTAAATATATAAAAAAATAAAAAATAAAAAATAAAATTTAACTCACCAAACATAACAAATACCCAATATGGTATGCGAGCTGTTGTTGCTACAACAGAACGTTTCGCTTCGAGATAGAATGCGTCGGACTCTCGTTTGAAACGAACTGATAAATCATGCTGCCGGGTCTCGGTAAGAATTGTCAACGAATTATCAAAATCGAGCTCCTAAATATTTATTAAAAATGTATAATATTACTGTATATAGAAACAAATAAATAAAATGTATACAATCATTTCCTTACTTCGTCTGATGGAATATCTAATTCTACGTCATCAGGAATTTGAATTGAGGCAAATAAAGGTATAAGTTTGATTGCCTAAATATAGTATTCATTTTAGTAATTACGAAGCGAGTCGTATATTGAAACATAGATATACATTAGTACCTCCTCCTTGGCCGTCCGGAAATGCGCATCTATATCATCATCTGGTTTCCATACTTTTGGTAAACCTTCGTCATCATACCGGAATTTTTCTTCAAATCTGTCAAAAAACTTAGTGAGTTTTTCCTTTTTTTTTTTTTTTTAAAAAAAAAAAAAACAGTTCATAAATTATTTGTTCACCTCTCACGTAATTTAAGTAAAAACATGTTATCTGCAAGTTCATCATCAATTTTCTTTCGCAACTGCAGCCAGGAACGCTTACGAAGGCTGGAAACAGCCTCTATATTCTCTTCTTCAGTAGCGTTAAAACCTTATCAATGATATGCAAATTCAAATTAGCATATCAAATATTATTAACATAAATCAAACAATATTATTTTAAGTACATACTCTTTAAACGTTTCAATAATTGTTGCTCAACATTAGTAAGAATTTGGTGAAACTTTCTAATAGTCTTGCACCACATATCCTGAGTTGGCGTTTTGAAGTATAGAGAAACGAATTCGTTGATTTGCGATTGAAACGATTTCTGTGTTGAAAATTGAAAAACGAGCAAAATTAATATGACTACAAAGTTTAAAAAGCTATTATGATTAATTATAAGTTCATCTAAATTTTGTACCTCTAATGCATTAATCATTTTTTTCGTTTCTTCAGTACGTGATTTCGCCGCAATTTCGTTAATGGAATCTCTCAATTGAGTAAGTTCTTCTTCAAAAGTCCAATCAGTGCCGGACAAAAGAATGGCTAAATCGTTATTGAAATTAGAAATGTTATTTAAATATTAATGTGAATCATGTCAATAGTTATGATTGTTACCTTGAGCTCCAGATGTGAAAAGTTCCTCGACCTCATCACGAGTATTACTGACAACTTCAGCGAAATCGTATTCTCCTTTCAATTTTTCCTATTGGTAAAAGTGAAATATTAATTTATTAAAGGACGTTATAAGTAAAAACTCAATCTAATATTATTACCTTAACACTAGAACTGAATGTATTTATGGCTTTCTTTGTGAGATTTTTTAATTGACCAAGGAAAAATACACGTAATTGAGAATTTGCTTTTTGAAGAATTTCTTGTCGTTTACGGTTATACACATCAGAGTGATATCGGGACGCATCTTTGTCGAATTGCTCTAATTACAAAGCAAGAAACATTCAATATTATTTTAAGAATATAGACAATCTATAAAGAAAACTTACTAATAGTAGCATTTCGAATTTCTTCCATTTGTGGCCCTAGATCATCGATAATTTTGCCAACTTCAATAGGTTGTCTGAATCCCTTGATTTTTCCCAAGAAATTCTCAAAAGCGACCTTTTTTGCAAATTAACGAATTGGTCTTAGTAAAGAAAAATATATAAATTGAACCATCTAGTTTGTATAATTATAAAATAGTTACAGATGCTATTTCATCACAACGATATTGGGCTAAAAGTTCCTGTTGTGTTGGTAAATCAAGGTCTTTATTTGACATAATTTGATCCTAATTATTCAATCAATAATTAGAAATATTTATTTCAAATCATTTATGTGATAATGATTTATGAATATTATGCTTATGTATAAACATACCCAAATGCCTTCTGCATAAACATGAAGACCATCAGCAGGAACTCTTTTGTTGTAATTTGATTTGAAAACAAAATCTTTATTGTTTGGATTAATAAACCTAACAATGGCAATGAACAAAATATACAATAATTAAGTAAAATAACAATTAGATACTTAAACTTTATAATAGCCAACTAACAAAGTCATACCGTTCTCGTAATTTGATAACCTCTTGTTCAAACTCTTTTGGTAAGAGAAGTTTATGGGGTAACGTGGTGAACATAAAATCAAAGTAATCTTTAATAATACAATGCTCTAAACCTTCAGGCTGAAGAAATAACGATGATTCAATATTAATGAAACATTTTAATAACACAATGTACATTAATAAAGATACAAATATTATAATTACCTTAGAAACACCATCCCAAATTCTTTCTAAATCAGCCGTTAAAGTATTCGACAAGTTGGCCAATGGTGTTGCACCGACATGGTCTCTAATTACGAAGAGCAGTAAAGTCTTTTCTTTTTCTTTACTACAAAAATAATTTAAATTATTGAATATAATAAAACGCAATAAAGAAAAAAAATAATTAAAATAATTTAAAGTGAAATATAAATTAGATTAAGTTAGGGGACATTATTAATAATGATTCAAGAACACATACCCTCGTGCAGCTTGGAACAATTGTAAGTTCACTTCAAACACGGTTTTCAGAAGGCCCATATTAGCACCCTGATAAAGGCCAACTTGGTGTTCCCAAAGATTAACAATGATAACATTGGACGTAGCCATAGAAAATAATGCACTCTTTCTTTCAAAATCCTAATTAGAACTTAAATGATTAGCATTTAATCGTGCCTATTATTACCTAATTAACAATAAAGAACTAAATAGTTACGAACCTGGTCTTCACCACGTTCACGGCCATCAGTACCTTCAACGTCCATGATCAATACATTCATACCTCTGCCACGACTCATCCAAATTCCTAATGATTGAATCCGGAATTTTAATAAATATGTTATACTTTTTAATAACTTATTAAAAAAGTATTAATTATGATACCTTTGGTAGTTTGACGGCGAGCAGTTTCACTCATAACATCAAAATTTGTCCCGAAGAGTCTGTTTAATAATGTACCTTTATGAAGTAACATTAACTCAATAAGATAAAACTTCTAAAAAATAATAGGATTAAAATTATATATTTAAATACTCACTCTTCCCGGTACTTTGTGATCCAAAGACAGCCACTAAATTATAGTTGAAACCACAGTCAGCAAGTTCCCATTCATCTTTCATGCATTTTGGTAATTCTTTTCTATTGAAAATAAAGGTTTATGGCTTGTAAAAAAAAAAAAAAATTATAAAGTACATAATAAACGTCAACACGACAGAAGACAGGACATACGTGAAGTGCTGGTTTTCATCAATAATTTGTAGCTGAGCAAAGGTTCTATTAGTACCGTTGATTTGTTGGGCCTGCCCATTAGGCTCGTTAGAAGAGCCAATATCTGTTGCAGTCATTTTATGTCTTTGAATAATTTTGTTAGAATTCAAACGTAAAGTAAAATATGGTCAGACTCGCAGAGACTGCCCTATAAATTGTTGACTGACATGTGACGTATTTCTGTTTATATGTACGGTCGCCGCAGAACGCCCGATTTTTTTTATGTATTACATGCTGGGCGACTGTATGTACGTAGCTAATATCCAATGCATGTGTCACAAAGTGTAATCGCACGAGTCGATCTTAAATATTGGGAGAAGTTCCCAATTTTCTTGTCCTAATTTCCTGTTCTAATTTGATCTGAACATGAATTTTTTCTTTGATTTTGTTGATAATCAGCAATGGCTTATCAGTTATACAGTATATCCTGCCTAATCCTGCCTAAGTACTTCAGCTAAATTTTGAACAAGGATATTCAATAAACCTACAACCTTTCAAACATTCGGATTGTGATTTTTGGCATTGTTTTTGGTTATCTTATTCTTATTTTTTCGAACAAGGAAATTTTTATATTATAGTAATTTATATTATTTATATATTAGCAAGAAAAAATTTTTTGAGATTAATCAACTAACCAACTATAGTTTAAACTAATTTAGCCTGTTTAAACTTGATATTTAGCTCGTGAAGTAGTAGAAACGCATTTTTACTATTTTTTTTTATCGCTATTTAATAAGAAATATCGATACGTATCAGTATCGGTACGTATACAATTATTTTTGAATTATATATTTAAGAAAAAACTTAAATTATTGTATTGTTTAATAACAAAGCGACCTCGTTAAAATACACCCTTTATAAATGCTACGCGACACATGACGATTACTGCCAATTATTTACCCTTTACTACAGTACTATCAAGGCTACTATGCAACTACATACATATAATTACTTGCTTTACGGGTTGTTATTGGCAAATTTCAAAACGCATAAAAAAACCCCTGTAATTCTTTAAAGTTGTCTACATGAAAATACGTATAAAATTAAATTCAAATCAATCACCGTACGTACGTACGTACTTGTTATACATAAGGTTACTTCTTAATTTGTTATTTTTTTTCCAAATTTAGGTGAGCACTTTGCTTTTAGCGTTAGTTATCGTATTTTTTAATTATATATAAAGCTTATACAATCTTATGTCATACGTATTATTACAATTTTTGTATTTAGAATTATTTTCAAGATCAATTCTAACTAAAATTTTCTTTTTAATGGGTTAAATTTTTATTTTTGATTTTTAGTTTAACGTATTAAAGTCTTATATAGTAATACTAAATTTATATATATATATATATTTTAAAGTATTGCTAATCTTAACTAGGAAGAATTCACCGGGATGCTATATACAGTATATCTCTAACTAATTTACGTCATGAGTACTAAGCAAAAATGTTTAAAATTCTTTAAATCTTATTTTAACTAAAATTAAAACACTAATATCTAACTTTAAGCCTTGGCTAAGATTATACTCTAACTTTAAATATTTAATAATAATTAAAAAAAGAAATTGTTTCTTTGGTTAAATATAATAATTTTCTATTTTTATTAATATTTTTATAATTAATAAAATTAAAATATAATAGATATTTGTTTGGTTATTAGATTTAGTGTTCCTATGAACTGAACTGAACTGAACTTTTGGCCAAGTTCAAGTTCAGTTCAAAATTGAACTGAACTTGAA